CACTGCACTTCTCCCCACACCCTTTTTGTTATGCAGTTCTAGTCTGTGACCCCTCCAAGCCCTGGGACATCCTGGTCGACCTCCTCCTGGTTCTGGCCAAGCTGGCCATCTATAAGACCAAGGAGGCTCTGGCCAAGGGGAACCTGGGCACCTGTGCTGCTGTCTTCCTGGCACACCTTGCTCACATCTCCAGGCAGTTTCATTGGTCGGCATCCACAGGCTCCCTCAACTCATTCAGGGGGCAGTAGGCGCTGGCTGGTGTGCTCTGCTTGGCTTCCCCTTCTGAATCCCTAGTTATTTGCTTGTGACCTCACTCCTGTGCCTGGTTTTCTTTTTTGTTGTCCCAAGCATTCAGTTCATGTGTCCCTTCTTAAGGAAGGCTTATAGTTTTCTGTGATGGGCCAATGATGGGCCCATAGTCTAGCCAGCCAGACTGGAGCTTGCATAAATACTCACCTCAGGGCCAAAGGGTTGCTGCACAGACTTCAGAGATGCATGACCAGCCACCTGAAGACTGGCTCCACCTGAAATGGTCAGCTCAGGCAGCATGCTGCCACATGCAGCTGGAGTGGGCTCTTGGCTGCCAGGAATTCTGCTGGAAGCTAAGAGGGGCTACTGCCACACGTGCAGATCCCCCGGAAAGGGGAAAGCATGAGATCAGCAGAGCTTGTACAAACTGTGTGGCGACACAGGGACAGTGTCAGGAACCAGAGCCAGAGGCTGGAGCCAGGGACCAAGCCAGAGTCAGGACTGAGAGCCAGAGCTGGGGACAAAGCCAGGCAGTAAGAGGATAAACCCCTCTATCAGAGAAGCTGCAGCGAGAGCTGTTGTGGGAAGGGGACAACAGAGTTGAGTAAAAAAATGAAGGGTTTGGCAATGGTGGTAGGATAAACCCGTTTAATTGATCAGGGAGGTGGCGAGGGAGTGACTTGTAAACTGGCATGTCCTAAATAAATTTAGTGAAGAAGATGAGCTGGTGCCTTGAGAGCTCCTTAATTGAAGACATATCAATAAGGAATAAACAATGACGAAACTTTTTATTTGATGAAATATAAATAAGGATCGAGTGATGATGAACTCATTTACCGATGAAGTATAAGTAAGGATTAATCAAGTGAGGGCAAACTTGTTAGCTGATGAAGTATAAATAAGGATTAATTGAATGACGGCAATTTGTTGATTGGGGAAGTACCAATAAGGACCAACTGATGTGGTGAACAGATGGTGAGACTCACTAACATGTGACTTATAAAACAGCTCATTAGTTGGATAAGCCAGCAAGAAGGAAATTGTTAGTTGGCTACTCTCAAGGACAAGTTACCAGAATGACTGATTAATAGCCTGGCACCACCCTGTGTATTTTATGAGGAAGAGATATCCAGAAAGATCAAGGGCCTGAGCCCATATAGGTACGGTAAGGGCAAGAAACAGGGGAGGTGGAGCCTGGTGAGGAAAGAGCCCGCCCTCAAGTGCTACCATTGACTATGATAAACATCACACTTCCTTTCTTTTCTCTTTTTTACTTTAAACATCAAGGCACAGCAGGTAAATAGCAGGGGAGACTCCAAAATGGGGGAGCGGGTAAGGACTTGCACTCTCATACCCCTCCATATCATTAATCATCCTTGTTGTGCTTTTTTGTACCTTCACATACAGATGGGGGTTCTCTCATGCTAAATTCTGGAGTTATACTGCATAGTGTATAATGAGCAGTATATGTGGGATAACACCAGACAGAAAGTGGTTTTCCCCATCTAGGAAAATGTTCATGATTCCGAAAATTCCCTATCTTGGATGAGGTCTAATTAGTAAAAATCTGAAAAATTTTCAGACTGACAATCTGAAAAATGTTGCTTTAAATCAATGTTTGAGGCACCCCTCAGAAAATTCTTGCTCTTTTATTTTTCCATAGTCAAAAGGAGTGAAAATAACAGCAGTTCTTCTATTGCAAAGAACTCAGAAAAACCGTAACAGGTCAGATGTTTTCAACACTGTGGATTCCTATTTGAAATGTCTGGGTTTATTTTGTGAATCATGTTTGCACACGTAACAGTGCTAACATTTTGAGACACCCCAGGGTGCCCTTAAAGGGATCTCAAGGGACCCAGAGTACTGCAGCACCCTGGTTGAGAATTGGTGGACTAAATTTTTAAAAAATGACTTAACATGTTAAAATAAAACTCATGGCAGACAAGGCCTTGTTCCTTCCGAGTGAAATTCAACAACCTAAACTGGAGGTGTCAAACTCTCTTGGCCCCTTCAGACCAGATCCAGACAGCAGAGCGCCTTGTGGGCTAGATCCAGACCCACCTCCAATGGTAGGGTAAGCAGATTCAGGGAGTCACAGGGGTTATAGCACAGCTCTAGGGCTCTGTATGCAGGAATTTGGCTCACTCTACCCCTCCCCCGCAACCCCTTCAGGAGCTCCACAGGGTCAGATCTTTGATACGCCTAGCTTAAATGATAAAAAGTCATTTAGAATTCTAATTGTATAAACCAAACTAACAAGATTTTAAATGGACAGGCTTTTTTTCTAAAGCACAGAGCTGGTCTTCCTGTTCTGAAGTTTGAAGCTAAGACCGGAGTGCATTATTTTTGCATAATATTAAAAGTTGGACGACATCATTTCATGCCCCATACCAGCACTCTCAACACCTGATCAGTGGAAACCACTCACTTTCTAACTGAACACATGAGCTGGAATCAGACCAAACATTCAAGGCAGAAACCAAGCAATCAATCCTGTTTAATATGAGGCTGCCCTGCACTGAGATACTTCAATATTCTTTTCTATAACAGACCGGATACTTACGCAGTGGCTTCATAGGCCAGATTGAGGAGAATCCCATCTCCCACACTCATCCCCAGGGCATTGCACATTCCCTGGATCTCTCCTGCAAAGGGCGGAGGGATGAAGAACTCCAATTCCGCTGCTAACGGCCGAATGACAGCGTGGACCCACTTCGGTACGATTTCACTGGAAGACACGCAAACAGTGGCTAATCACACTTTTGAGGTAATCGCAGTATAACAAGCCCTGTATAGTATTAGCTAGTTGTTGAACCCACATAGTCCCTCTGTGCAGCCCAAAACAGAACACGGCTTTAAAAAACAAAACCAAACCAAAAAACCCCAACCATCTTAGCAGCCAGCTTTATGTGACCTCACAGTGTTTTGCCCCTCGCAATTACTGTGGTGGAATAATCCCTCTCAATTGAGCAGGAGTCGTCAAGTTCAACGCGTTCCCACTTGCTTGCAGCTAGGGAAAAGCTGTAAAGCGTCCTGTCTCCCTCAACCCCGCAACTGAGGGCAGCTCGGGGGGTCACAACAGCATCTGCTTTCTTTCAGTGCACAGTCTCAAGCGCTCGCACTTGCCAGGAGCAAGCCCCGCTCCCCCGCTCTCGCGAGGCCAAGGCACCGCTCTGCTCCTGGTGCCGAGGGACCGGGAGAGGCCGGGGGCTGCGCCTCTGCTCGCTCACTCACTCGATGATGCGCGTGAGGAAGTGTCGCAGCAGCCACGGGTCGAAGCGCCGCAGCACCGGCAGCCAGCGCAGGTCGGGGTCGCTGTCCAGGCTCACGTTGCAGAGCGGCGCGGCCCGCGCCGCCCCCGCGCCCAGCAGCGGCAGCAGCAGCAGCGCCCAGCCCCCCGCCCGCCGCCCCCCCATGCTGGAGGCAAAGCCCGGCTGGCGCTGGACGCTGTCCGGAGCCGCCCGGAAAAACCCCGCCCCGGTGCTGCAAAGCTCCAGGAGTCACCCCGGAAAGGGCCCGTCGCGAGCACGCCTGGGCGCCACCCCGCACCCCATTGGGCGCTTAGGCCTGGGGGCAGGGTACGGCTCCAGCCCTGGGGTCCCTCTGCGCCTCCCCCATGCTGCGAGGCAGCAGCAGAGCCCGCCCCGACGTGCTTTAGGAGAATTCAGGGTGTGTTTTCTTGCCACAGAAAACAAGACAGGAGAGGCGGAGTCACTTGCTTGGGCAGAGCCGGAGCTAGCAAGGCGACCTAGGTAGGTAGTAGCCCCCCCAGCCAGGTCCCATGTGGCTAAGCAAGCTGTTGTACAAACGGCTAGTTTCGTGCCCCTGGAGGCTTGTCCAATCCACCTCTAGGAGAGAGTCTTACACACAGGCTGGGTCCAATTTCAGATTTATTGTTTGCAAACAAGTTCGACAAGGGAGCTTAATTTACTCAAATCCGTGTCGACCCCAAACAGAGTCTGGGGTTCCTTTTTATAGCTAACATAAACAAAAGATTCTAACGTGTCGCGTAATTATTGGTAGCCCAAGTATTACGTCTTACAACATATGTCTAGCAGGTACATGTTCTATGATGGTTTACATACATGTCTCATTTACATCTTAAATCTCCTCCCTGGGGCCGTCCTTAAGTCCATTTCGGTCATTCTTTGGTCAAGGTCTGAGTTCTTCACATCAGCACCTTTCCCTGTGCCTCTTCTCTTATCTCTCGTAAGGAGTTATTTGTTGCATCTGTTCCTGGCTATGTCTGCAGAAGTCTAGTGCTACTCGTAAATCTATCATTGGCCTACATACCTTAGCAGAAGCAAGTGTGATAATATGCAGAAGCAATTATGTAGTGAAACTAAACAGTTCTCAGCTGTGAAGCCTTTGTGTAGGGAGATGAGACATTTTTTTACCACACAGCTGCTACACAAACGTTATTGCAAAATCATAATGACTAGATTATAACATATTTTTACCACAAGTATAACTGCACATACAAATATAAATGCACCACTGAAGACAAAGACCTGGGGGGTTATAGTAAACCATAAACTGAATATGAGCCAACAGTGTGCTCTTGTTGCAAAGAAAAAAAAAAAAAAAAGCCAACGGCATACAGGGTTGTATTAAAAGGAGTGCGACTTACAAATCAAGGGAAATGATTCTTCTGCTTTATTCAACTCTAGTAAGGCCTCATCTGGAGAATTGTGTGCAGTTTTGGGCTCCACATTTCAAGAAGGATGTGAACAGTTTGGAAAGAGTCCATCAAGTAACTATAGGCCTGTAAGCCTCACCTTGGTGCTCAGGAAGATCTTGGAGAGAATCATCAAAGAGCACATCTGTGGGGGGCCAGCAGGGAAGATCATGCTCAGGGGCAACCAGCATGGGTTCATCAAAGGCAGGTCCTGCCTGACCAACCTGATTGCCTTTTATGACCCAGTAACTAAAGCCTTGGATGATGGTGTCGCCGTGGACATAGTCTTTCTAGACTTTAAGAAGGCCTTTGACACTGTCTCTCACCCCATCCTCATCAATAAATTAAGCGACTGTGGCATTGATGCCTGCACAGTTGGATGGGTAAAAAATTGGCTGATGGG